AGCAAATCCAATAATAATGCTTCAGAGACGACTTCATGTCCCAGCTTTTATTCCTTCAAGGTTGTAGAAGATCTTTAGCAACCAAATGGTAATAACAGAGACGACTTCATGTCCCAGCTTTTATTCCTTCAAGGCTGTAGAAGATTCCTTTCAGCAACCAAATGGTAATGCTTCAGAGACGACTTGTCCCAGCTTTATTCCTTCAAGGCTGTAGAAGATTCCCTTTCAGCAACCAAATAATAATGCTTCAGAGACGACTTATTGTCCAGCTTGCATTCCTTCAAGGCTGTGAAAGATTCCTTTCAACAGCAAATGGTAATGCTTCAGAACGACTACATGTCCCAGCACTGTTCGCTTCAAGGCTGTAGAAGATTCTTTCAGCAACCAAATAATAGCTACAGAGACGACTTATGTCCCAGCTTTATTCCTCAAGGCTGTGAAAATTCCTTTCAACAGCAGATAAATAATGCTTCAGAGACGACTTCATGTCCCAGCTTTATTCCTTCAAGGCTGTAGAAGATTCCTTTCAGCAACCAAATAATAATTATTCTTCAGAGACGACTTCATGTCCCAGCTTTATTCCTTCAAGGCTGTAGAAGATTCCTTTCAGCAACCAAATAATAATGCTTCAGAGACGACTTCATGTCCAGCTTTATTCCTTCAAGGCTGTAGATTCCTTTCAGCAACCAAATAATAATGCTTCAGAGACGACTTCATGTCCCAGCTTTATTCCTTCAAGGCTGTATTCCTTTCAGCAACTAAATAATAATGCTTCAGAGACGACTTACGTCCCAGCTTTATTCCTTCATATTGTAGAAGATTCCTTTCAGCAACCAAATGGTAATGTCGAGACGACTTGGCGTCCCAGCTTTATTCCTTCAAGGCTGTAGATTCCTTTCAGCAACCAAATAATAATGCTTCAGAGACGACTTCATGGTCCCAGCTTTATTCCTTCAAGGTTGTAGAAGACTCCCTTTCTCAGCAACCAAATAATAATGCCTTCAGAGACGACTTCTACGTCCCAGCTTTATTCCTTCAAGGCTGTAGAAGATTCTTTCAGCAACCAAATAATAATGCTTCAGAGACTTCTGTCCCAGCTTTATTCCTTCAAGGCTGTAGAAGATTCCTTTCAGCAACCAAATGGTAATGTCGAGACGACTTCATGTCCCAGCTTTATTCCTTCGCTGTAGAAGATTCCCTTTCAGCAAACCAAATAATAATGCTTCAGAGACGACTTCATGTCCCAGCTTTCTTTATTCTTCAAGGTTGTAGAAGATCTTTTCAGCAACCAATGTAATGCTTCAGAGACGACTTCATGTCCCAGCTTTATTCCTTCAAGGCTGTAGAAGAAGAACCTTTCAAAACCAATAATAATGCTTCAGAGACGACTTCATGTCCCAAACTTCAAAGGCTGTAGAAGATTCCTTCAGCAACAAATGGTAATGCTTCAGAGACGACTTCCATGTCCCAGCTTTATTCCTTCAAGGCTGTAGAAGATTCCTTTCAGCAACCAAATAATAATGCTTCAGAGACGACTTCATGTCCCAGCTTTATTCCTTCAGGCTGTAGAAGATTCCTTTCAGCAACCAAATGGTAATGCTTCGAGACGACTTCATGTCCCAGCTTTATTCCTTCAAGGCTGTAGAAGATTCCTTTCAGCAACCAAATAATAATGCTTCAGAGACGACTTCATGTCCCAGCTTTATTCCTTCAAGGTTGTAGAAGATTCCTTTCAGCAAACAAATGGTAATGCTTCAGAGACGAATTCATGTCCCAGCTTTATTCCTTCAAGGCTGTAGATTCCTTTTCAGCAACCAAATAATAATGCTTCAGAGACGACTTCATGTCCCAGCTTTATTCCTTCAAGGCTGTAGAAGATTCCTTTCAGCAACAAAAATGCTTCAGGAGACGACTTCATGTCCCAGCTTTATTCTTCAAGGTGTCCTTTCAGCAACCAAATAATAATGCTTCGAGACGACTTCATTCCTTTATTCCTTCAAGGCTGTAGAAGATTCCTTTCAGCAACCAAATAATAATGCTTCAGAGACGACTTCATATTTCAGCTTTATTCCCTCAAGGCTGTAGAAGATTCCTTTCAGCAACAAATAATAATGCTTCAGAGACGACCCTCATGTCCCAGATTTATTCCTTCAAGGCTGTAGAAGATTCCTTTCAGCAACCAAATAATAATGCTTCAGAGACGACTTCATGTCCCAGCTTTATTCCTTCAAGGCTGTAGAAGATTCCTTTCAGCAACCAAATAATAATGCTTCAGAGACGACTTCATGTCCCAGCTTTATTCCTTCAAGGCTGTAGAAAGATTCCTTTCAGCAACAAAATAATAATGCTTCAGAGACGACTTCATCCCAGCTTTATTCCCCTTCAAAGGCTGTAGAAGATTCCTTTCAGCAAACTGTAAATAATAATGCTTCAGAGACGACTTCATGTCCCAGCTTTATTCCTTCAAAGGCTGTGAAGATTCCTTTCAGCAACCAAGTGGTAATGCTTCAGAGACGATTCATGTCCCAGCTTTATTCCTTCAAGGCTGTAGAAGATTCCTTTCAGCAACCAAATGGTAATGCTTCAGAGACGACTTCATGTCCCAGCTTTATTCCTTCAAGGTTGTAGAAGATTCCTTTCAGCAAACAAATAATAATAATGCTTCAGAGACGACTTCATGTCCCAGCTTTATTCCTTCAAGGTTGTAGAAGATTCCTTTCAGCAACCAAATAATAATCTTCAGAGACGACTTCATAACCCAGCTTTTATTCCTTCAAGGCTGTAGAAGATTCCTTTCAGCAACCAAATAATAATGCTTCAGAGACGACTTCATGTCCCAGCTTTTTCTGGCTGTGAAGATTCCTTTCAGCAACCAAATGGTAATAGCTTCAGAGACGACTTCATGTCCCCAGCTTTATTCCTTCCAAGGCTGTGAAGATTCCTTTCAGCAACCAAATAATAATGCTTCAGAGACGACTTCATGTCCCAGCTTTATTCCTTCAAGGCTGTAGAAGATTCCTTTCAGCAACCAAATGGTAATGCTTCAGAGACGACTTCATGTCCCAGCTTTATTCCTTCAAGGCTGTAGAAGATTCCTTTCAGCAACCAAATGGTAATACTTCAGAGACGACTTCATGTTTATTCCAAGGCTTTAAGATTCCTTTCAGCAGGTAATGCTTCAGAAGATTCATGTCCAGCTTTATTCAACTAAGCTGTAACCTTTCAAAAATAATAATGCTTCGAGACGACTTCATGTCCCAGCTTTATTCCTTCAAGGCTGTAGAAGATTCCTTTCAGCAACCAAATGGTAATGCTTCAGAGACGACTTCATGTCCCAGCTTTATTCCTTCAAGGCTGTAGAAGATTCCTTTCAGCAACCAAATAATAATGCTTCAGAGACGACTTCATGTCCCAGCTTTATTCCTTCAAGGCTGTAGAAGATTCCTTTCAGCAACCAAATAATAATGCTTCAGAGACGACTTCATGTCCCAGCTTTTATTCTTCAAGGCTGTAGAAGATTCCTTTCAGCAACAAATAATAATGCTTTCAGAGGACTTCCCATGTCCCAGCTTTATTCCTTCAAGGCTGTAGAAGATTCCTTTCAGCAACCAAATGGTAATGCTTCAGAGACGACTTCATGTCCCAGCTTTTATTCCTTCAAGGCTGTAGAAGATTCCTTTCAGCAACAAATAATAATGCTTCAGAGACGACTTCATGTCCCAGCTTTATTCCTTCAAGGCTGTAGAAGATTCCTTTCAGCAACCAAATAATAATGCTTCAGAGACGACTTCATGTCCCAGCTTTATTCCTTCAAAGGCTGTAGAAGATTCCTTTCAGCAACCAAATAATAATGCTTCAGAGACGACTTCATGTCCCAGCTTTATTCCTTCAAGGCTGTAGAAGATTCCTTTCAGCAACCAAATAATAATGCTTCAGAGACGACTTCATGTCCCAGCTTTATTCCTTCAAGGCTGTAGAAGATTCCTTTCAGCAACCAAATAATAATGCTTCAGACGACTTCATGTCCCTTTATTCTTTACTTCATGTCCTTCAGCAACTTTATTCAGAGACTTCAAGTCCCAGATTATTCTTCAAGAGACGACTTCATTTCAGCTTTATTCCAAGGCTGGTAATTCCTTTCAGAGACTTCAAGACGACATGTCCCAGCTTTATTCCTTCAAGGCTGTAGAAGATTCCAACAAATTTCAGCAACCAAATAATAATGATTCTTTCAGAGACGACTTCATGTCCCAGCTTTATTCCTTCAAGGCTGTAGAAGATTCCTTTCAGCAACCAAATAATAATGCTTCAGAGACGACTTCATGTCCCAGCTTTATTCCTTCAAGGCTGTAGAAGATTCCTTTTCCAGCAACCAAATGGTAATGCTTCAGAGACGACTTCATGTCCCAGCTTTATTCCTCAAGGCTGTGAAGATTCCTTTTCTTAACCAAATAATAATGAGACGACTTCATGTCCCAGCTTTATTCCTTCAAGGCTGTAGAAGATTCCTTTCAGCAACAAATAATAATGCTCAGAGACGACTTCATGTCCCAGCTTTATTCCTTCAAGGCTGTAGAAGATTCCTTTCAGCAACCAAATGGTAATGCTTCAGAGACGACTTCATGTCCCAGCTTATTCCTTCAAGGCTGTAGAAGATTCCTTTCAGCAACAAATAATAATGCTTCAGAGACGACTTCATGTCCCAGCTTTATTCCTTCAAAACTGTAGAAGATTCCTTTTCAGCAACAAATATGGTAATGCTTCAGAGACGACTTCATGTCCCAGCTTTATTCCTTCAAGGCTGTGAAGATTCCTTTCAGCAACCAAATAATAATGCTTCAGAGACGACTTCATGTCCAGCTTTATTCCTTCAAGGCTGTAGAAGATTCCTTTCAGCAACCAAAATAATAATGCTTCAGAGACGACTTCATGTCTTTATTCCTTCAAGGCTGTAGAAGATTCCTTTCAGCAACAAATGGTAATGCTTCAGAGACGACTTCATGTCCCAGCTTTATTCCTTCAAGGCTGTAGAAGATTCCTTTCAGCAACCAAATAATAATGCTTCAGACGACTTCATGTCCCAGCTTTATTCCTTCAAGGCTGTAGAAGATTCCTTTCCAGCAACCAAATGGTACTTCAGAGACGACTTTCCCAGCTTTATTCCTTCAAAGGCTGTAGAAGATTCCTTCAGCAACCAAATAATAATGCTTCAGAGACGACTTCATGTCCCAGCTTTATTCCTTCAAGGCTGTAGAAGATTCTTTCAGCAACCAAATAATAATGCTTCAGAGACGACTTCATGTCCCAGCTTTTATTCCTTCAAAGGCTGTAGAAGATTCTTTCAGCAACCAAATGGTAATGCTTCAGAGACGACTTCATCCCAGCTTTATTCCTTCAAGGCTGTAGAAGATTCCTTTCAGCAACCAAATAATAATGCTTCAGAGACGACTTCATGTCCCAGCTTTATTCCTTCAAGGCTGTAGAAAGATTCCTTTCAGCAACCAAATAATAATGCTTCAGAGACGACTTCATGTCCCAGCTTTATTCCTTCAAGGCTGTAGAAGATTCCTTTCAACAGCAAATAATAATGCTTCAGAGACGACTTCATGTCCCAGCTTTATTCCTTCAAGGCTGTAGGAAGATTCCTTTCAGCAACCAAATGGTAATGCTTCAGAGACGACTTCATGTCCCAGCTTTATTCCTTCAAGGCTGTAGAAGATTCCTTTTCAGCAACCAAATAATAATGCTTCAGAGACGACTTCATGTCCCAGCTTTATTCCTTCAAGGCTGTAGAAGATTCCTTTCAAATGGTAACCAAATAATAATGTCCCAGCTTTATTCCTTCAAGGCTGTAGAGATACGCAACTTCCAGACGACTGTCCCAGCTTTATTCCTTCAAGGCTGTAGAAGATTCCTTTCAGCAACCAAATAATAATGCTTCAGAGACGACTTCATGTCCCAGCTTTATTCCTTCAAGGCTGTAGAAGATTCCTTTCAGCAACCAAATAATAATGCTTCAGAGACGACTTCATGTCCCAGCTTTATTCCTTCAAGGCTGTAGAAGATTTCCTTTCAGACAACCAAATAATAATGCTTCAGAGACGACTTCATGTCCCAGCTTTATTCCTTCAAGGCTGTAGAAGATTTCCTTTCAGAGACAACCAAATAATAATGCTTCAGAGACGACTTCATGTCCCAGCTTTTATTCCTTCAAGGCTGTAGAAGATTCCTTTCAGCAACCAAATAATAATGCTTCAGAGACGACTTCATGTCCCAGCTTTATTCCTTCAAGGCTGTAGAAGATTCAGCAACAAATTAATGCTTCAGAGACGACTTCAAAGCTTTATTCCTTCAAGGCTGTAGAAGATTCTTTCAGCAACCAAATTCCTTTCAACAACCAAATATCAATGCTTCAGAGACGACTTCATGTTAGCTTTGTTCTTCAAGGCTGTAGAAGATTCCTTTCAACAGCAAATAATAATGCTTCAGACGACTTCCATGTCCCAACTTTATTCCTTTGAAAACAACAGAAGATTCCTTTGGCAACAAATAATAATGCTTCAGAGAGACGACCATGTCCCAGCTTTATTCCTTCAAGGCTGTAGAAAATTCCTTTCAGCAAACAAAAATGGTAATGCTCAGACGACTTCATGTCCCAGCTTATTCCTTCAAGGCTGTAGAAGATTCCTTTCAGCAACCAAATAATAATGCTTCAGAGACGACTTCATGTCCCAGCTTTATTCCTTCAAGGCTGCTGAAGATTCCTTTCAACAACAAAAAATAATGCTTCAGAGACGACTTCATGTCCCAGCTTTATTCCTTCAAGGCTGTAGAAGATTCCTTTCAGCAACAAATAATAATGCTTCAGAGATGACTTCATGTCCCAGCTTTATTCCTTCAAGGCTGTATATCCCTTTTAGCAACCAAATAATAATGCTTCAGACGACGACATGTCCCAGCTTTATTCCTTCAAAGGCTGTAGAAAGATTCCTTTTCAGCAACCAAATAATAATGCTTCAGAGACGACTTCATGTCCTGCTTTTATTCCTTCAAGGCTGTAGAAGATTCCTTTCAGCAACCAAATGGTAATGCTTCAGAGACGACTTCATGTCCCAGCTTTATTCCTTCAGGCTGTAGAAGATTCCTTTCAGCAACAAATGGTAATGCTTCGAGACGACTTCATGTCCCAGCTTTATTCCTTCAAGGCTGTAGAGATTCCTTTCAGCAAACAAATGGTAATGCTTCAGAGACGAATTCATGTCCCAGCTTTTATTCTTCAAGGTTGTAGAAGATTCCTTTCAGCAACCAAATGGTAATGCTTCAGAACGACTTCATGTCCCAGCTTTATTCCTTCAAGGCTGTAGAAGATTCCTTTTCAACAACAAAAGGTTAATGCTTGAGACGACTTCATGTCCCAGCTTTATTCCTTCAAGGTTGTAGAAGATTCCTTTCAGCAACCAAATAATAATGCTTCAGAGACGACTTCATGTCCCAGCTTTATTCCTTCAAGGCTGTAGAAAGATTCCTTTCAGCAAACCAAAAAATAATGCTTCGAGACGACTTCATGTCCCAGCTTTTATTCCTTCAAGGCTGTAGAAGATTCTTCAGCAACCAAATACTAATGCTTCAGAGACGACTTCATAACCAGCTTTATTCCTTCAGGCTGTAGAAGATTCCTTTCAGCAACCAAATAATAATGCTTCAGAGACGACTTCATGGTCCCAGCTTTATTCCTTCAAGGCTGTAGAAGATCCTTTCAGCAGCAAATAATGCTTCCAGAGACGACTTCATGTCCCAGCTTTATTCCCTTCAAGGCTGTAGAAGATTCCAACCAAACAATTTTCAGCAACCTTCAAGGTTGCAATAAACCAAGTGGTTCTCAGAGACGACTTCATGTCCCAGCTTTATTCCTTCAAGGCTGTAGAAGATTCCTTTCTAGCAAACCAAATGGTAACTTCAGAGACGACTTCATGTCCCAGCTATTCCTTCAAGGCTGTAGAAGATTCTCAGCAACCAAATGGTAATGCTTCAGGGACGACTTCATGCCTCTTCTGTACAGCTTTATTCCTTCAAGCCATTCTTCAAGGCTGTAGAAGATTCTTTCAGCAACCAAAGCTTAATGCAGAGAGATCAGCAAATGGTAAACCAAAGGTAATGCTTCAGAGACGACTTCATGCTATTCCCAAGCTTTATTCCTTCAGCAACCAAATAATAATGGCTGTAGAAAGGCTGTGAAGATTCTTTCAACAACAAATAATAATGCTTCAGACGACCATGTCCCAGCTTTATTCCTTCAAGGCTGAAAGATTCTTTCAGCAACCAAATGGTAATACTTCAGAGACGACTTCACAGTGTCCAGTTTTATTCCTTTAAGGCTGTAGAGGAATTCCTTTCAGCAACCAAATAATAATGCTTCAGAGACGACTTCATGTCCGCAGCTTTTATTCCTTCAAGGCCTAGAAGATTCCTTTTCAACAACCAAATGGTAAGCTTCAGAGACGACTTCTGTCCCAGCTTTATTCCTTCAAGGCTGTAGAAGATTCCTTTCAGCAACCAAATAATAATGCTTCAGAGACGACTTCACATGTCCAGCTTTATTCCTTCAAGGCTGAAGATTCCTTTCAGCAACCAAATAATAATGCTTCAGAGACGACTTCATGTCCCAGCTTTATTCCTTCAAACCAAATAATAATGGCTGTCCTAGATTCCTTTCAGCAACCAAATGGTAATGCTTTGAGACGACTTCATGTCCCAGCTTTATTCCTTCAAGGCTGTAGAAGATTCCTTTCAGCAACCAAATGGTAATGCTTCAGAGACGACTTCATGTCCCAGCTTTATTCCTTCAAGGCTGTAGAAGATTCCTTTCAACAACCAAATGAATAATGCTTCAGAGACGACTTCATGTCCCAGCTTTATTCCTTCAAGGCTGTAGAAGATTCCTTTCAGCAACCAAATAATAATGCTTCGAGACGACTTCATGTCCCAGCTTTATTCCTTCAAGGCTGTGAAGATTCCTTTCAGCAACCAAATGGTAATGCTTCAGAGACGTCCCACTTTATTCAAGGCAAAGATTCCAGCAACCAAATGGTAATAAGTCAGAGACTTCATGTCCCAGCTTTATTCCTTCAAGGCTGTAGAAGATTCCTTTCAGCAACCAAATAATAATGCTTCAGAGACGACTTCATGTCCCAGCTTTATTCATTCAAGGCTGTGAAGATTCCTTTCAGCAACAAATGGTAATGCTTCAGAGACGACTTCATGTCCCAGCTTTATTCCTTCAAGGCTGTAGAAGATTCCTTTCAGCAACCAAATGGTAATGCTTCAGAGACGACTTCATGTCCCAGCTTTATTCCTTCAAGGCTGTGAAAGATTCCTTTCAGCAACCAAATGCTTCAAGACGACTTCATGTCCCAGCTTTTATTCCTTCAAGGCTGTAGAAGATTCCTTTCAGCAACCAAATAATAATGCTTCAGACGACTTCATGTCCCAGCTTTATTCCTTCAAGGCTGTAGAAGATTCCTTTCAGCAACCAAAATAATGCTTCAGAGACGACTTCATGTTTCCAGCTTTATTCCTTCAAGGCTGTGAAGATTCCTTTCAGCAACCAAATGGTAATGCTGCTTCAGAGACGACTTCATGTCCCAGCTTTATTCCTTCAAGGCTGTAGAAGATTCCTTTCAGCAACCAAATAATAATGCTTCAGAGACGACTTCATGTCCCAGCTTTATTCCTTCAAGGCTGTAAAGATTCCTTTCAGCAACCAAATGGTAATAATGCTTCAGAGACGACTTCATGTCAGCTTTATTCCTTCAAGGCTGTAGAAGATTCCTTTCAGCAACCAAATAATAATGCTTCAGAGGACGACTTCATGTCCCAGCTTTATTCCTTCATGTCCCAGAAGATTCCTTTCATGAAGATTCCTTTCAAATGGTAATGCTTCAGGAGACGACTTCCCAGCTATTCCTTCAGGCTGTAGAAGATTCTTTCAGCAACCAAATAATAATGCTTCAGAGACGACTTCATGTCCCCAGCTTTATTCCTTCCAAGGCTGTAGAAGATTCCTTTCAGCAACCAAATAATAATGCTTCAGAGACGACTTCATGTCCCCGCTTTATTCCTTCAAGGCTGTAGGAATTCCTTTCAGCAACCAAATGGTAATGCTTCAGAGACGACTTCATGTCCCAGCTTTATTCCTTCAAGTCTGTAGAAGATTCCTTTCAGCAACCAAATAATAATGCTTCAGAGACGACTTGTGTCCCCAGCTTTTATTCCTTCAAGGCTGTAGAAGATTCCTTTTCAGCAACCAAATAATAATGCTTCAGAGACGACCATGTCCCAGCTTTATTCCTTCAAACATGAAGATTCGCTCAGCAACAAATAATAATGCTTCAGAGACGACTTCATGTCCCAGCTTTATTCCTTCAAGGCTGTGAAGATTCCTTTCAGCAACCAAATGGTAATGCTTCAGAGAGACGACTTCATG